AGCTGCTGGCAGCGGGTTTTCTTTGCAATCTGGCTGCTGTGATGCCAACCCACAGCTCCCAGTGACGCTGCTGGGATGTGCTGGGAGCCATCGCAGCCGGGCGGTGGGTTCATCCACTTCCTTCTCTGCCCCTTGGCTCTGCCGGGTTTCATCGCTGGCTCTGTGGATGCAGGGGGGTCTCTCCCCACTGGTGGGGCTGGTGTGTGGCCCCTCTTTTCCCCGGGGACATGAGCACACAGCACATTCTGCCATCATCAATAACTCCTCTGCCTGGCTCCTGTACAACCCCAGTGTCCTCCTGGGGGGCTCTGTGCCCTTTCCTCATGGCTGCCAGGGCAGTGGTGTGGGGTGACAGGGGATTTCTCCAGTCCCCCTTCTCCTCTTTGGGGCCAGGTGGGGAACATCCCCCCTGGAGTGGTCACAGAGCTAAAGCCACACAGTCCTGTTACCTGGGGTTCAGAGTGGGGATGGTGTGAGGTTGCCAGTGCCTCTGGGCACGTTTTAGGGTTGCCAGCCTACATTTTTTCAGTAGCCAAATGTGTGCAGGTGTTCAGGTGCAAAGGTGTAGGAGAGCTGGGAGCGGGGCTCGCTGCTCTGTAGTCCCTACCCCAAGGGACCGCAGGCTCATGCCTCCTCCTCCATTCCCATCTTCAGCTCCTGCAGCCAAAGCCCTGAGGGCTGGACTGGGCCCTGTCAGAGCTGCAGATCCCAGTGACCAGCACAGAGGCAGCAAAGTCCTTGCCAAGGAGGGTGAGCACCCAGGCGCAAGCTGGGAGCTTGTGGGGTGGAGAGAGGTGGGGGTGGGTCTGTTCAACCAAGGAACAAGGGACAGGACAAGAGGAAATGGGCTCCAGTTGTGGCCAGGGCAGTTGAGATGGGATGTGGGGAAGAATTTCTTTGCTGAAAGGGTTCTGAGGCATTGGAAGGGGTTGCCCAGGGCAGTGGTGGAGTCCCCATCCCTGGAGGGATTGGAGAGTCGTGTAGACATAGTGCTGAGGGACATGGGTTAGTCACAGGGGACTGGTCAGTGTTGGGTTCATGGTTGGACTCGATGATCTTAAAGGGCTTTTCCAATCGAGGCAGGTCTGGGATTCTGTGAGTTGGAGAGCTCTCCCTCCCCAAACACACTGTGCAGGGAGAGATGAACTCACAGTCCATGGTGTCCCTGTCTGGGACATGCCTGGAAGATGCATGTCCTGTGCCTGCAGGCTCACGGGTGTGAAGGCAAGGACCCCCCTGCTCTGGGGACATTGAGGAAGTGCCTGGGGGATCCAGTCTCCCCTTTCTGCGCTCTGCTCCAGGCTGATCTCAAGGCATATTGACTATTTTCTACTCTGGTTTTCTCAGCGCACTGATAAATCAGTATCTGGCCCAGGCTGGCAGCCCTGCAGGCTGCACTAAGGGGACACTTGTTTCCCCATCCCAAAGCGCTGCTAACCCCGCCACCCCGGCCGGGGTGTTTTCCTGCCTGGGGAAGTGCTGCTTCCAGGGGAAACTCTGAGCGGCTGCGTCCCTTGCTCATGGTCGCGTGGGCAGTCACAAGCCGGGCGGTCACAGCTCCGCCGTGTCCCCACTTTCCTCCTCGCGCTGCCGCTGCCGTTCCGGGAGCCCCGGGTGGAGGTGAGTGAAGGGCTGACCGGGGGATGGGAGCTTCACTTTCCTTAGCCATGGGGGCTTTTTCTTGGTGTTCCTAAGGTCCTGCTTTCCCCCACAGTTCTGCTTCAGCATCTTCTGCACCAGGCTTTTAAAAACACATTTATTTATGGGACAGGCGCCCTCGCCTTTGCCATGGGCTCTGCTTCCAGATTGGTGTCAGTGACAATCTGCAAGTGCAAAGCTTATATTTGACCTTCCTTTGCTCTGAGACCTCCAAAGCCTGGCATAGACATGCAGGGGATGAGTCCCGTGGCAGATAGAGGCATCAGTCCCTCCCCATCACCCGCACGCGCAGGAGGGAGGACAGCTCTGCTCCCCACCGAACTGGCTGCCATAGCCGTACCCAGCCTGAAAAATCAGTTTATTCCAGTTCCCAAAGCCTGGCAGGCTCTGATCCCACCAGCACAGTTGCAGCTGAAGCAAACCTGTGTGGAAGCAGGACAAGGGATGCTACCCCTGTCCTCTGTGCACTTTGGGAGCTGGGAAATGGTAGATGGAAGTTGAGTCTTTTGGAAAATAAGCCCCAAGCACCTGGCAAAGCCCTTGCTGTCGGGAGGGGAGCAGAACTTGTGCCTGGCATCCCTAAGCTTCCCTGGAGCAGGAGCTGAGGGGCTCTGCCCCACTGATGCTGGGGCTGTGCAGGCTGCTGGAGCTGCCCCATGGCTCTGGCCCCACTCGTGGGGGCTCAGCCCAAGCTCTCCTTGAAAGCTGGGTTAGAAAAAATGGTCTGTTGGGTGAGGCTGAGCCTCACAGGTGGCTGCATCCAGGTCCGATCCCTGCAGGCAGTGGCTGCCTCCTCTGTTCCTTCCCTGCTTGTTTTTTCTTATCAGAAATATTCTCCTTCCTGGTTTTCTCCATCTCCCTTTTCCCTCCTGCCATGCGTGATCTAGCCTAAATATTTCCTTCCATAGCTTCAGGACACTGCTGGGTATCCTGCCATCTTTGGAGACTGCAAATAATTCCCTTCCTTCATTTATATCATTACCTTGAAGGTATTTATAGAGCATGATCTTGAGTGGAAAGGAAGGCATGACTATATATAAAGCCGAGATCCCTTGGTCTTCAGCTGCTAACTGCCTCAAACTGCTCCTGATTTAAACTTTTATCCCGTTTGCTGCGTGTTTTGGACTTCACAGGAACATTTAAATCCCCGTCCTGAGCAAACAGAGTGATGCAGCTATGGCTTCTCCAAATTTCTACCATTGGAGTAATCCAAACTCATGAGTATTTGTCTGGGTCTTCTGACCATGCCCTGGTAGAAACCCTCGTGTAGGAGGAACCATGGCTGTATGAGGTGCTGAGCTATATCCCACGCTGGGTGCCTGGCCCTGGTGCAGCCACGCTCCTGAGCATCGGTCCAGACTCCGCGCTCGGCATCCTCACTCCGCACTCCCACGCGCTTCCCTCTGCTCCCAAAACACATCCCAGCAGCTCTGCTCCCGGCATTTCGCTGGCTGCTGCGGCCACGCGGGAGGTGGCTCCGTGTTAATGAGGGACGATGCTGTCCCAGGGCAAGGGCAGGATGGACAGACTTTCTGGCAGCTGTTGCTTGAACAGACTCCAGAGGTTGTTTCGTTTCCTACTGAGCAGGTGTCTGTCATGCAAGCCCTGGGAAGCAACGCAGCTGTAACAGTAATAATAGTAATAATAGTAATAATAGAAGCCCTCTGCATGTCTTTCTGTCTGTCTCCTCCAGCCCGGGACCATGGGGAGCAGCAAGAGCAAACCCAAAGACCCCAGCCAGCGCCGGCGCAGCCTGGAGCCCACTGACAACACCCACCACGGGGGTTACCCGGCCTCGCAGACGCCCAGCAAGGCGGCTGCTCCCGATGCCCATCGCACCCCCAGCCGCTCCTTCGGGACCATGGCTGCTGAGTCCAAGCTCTTTGGAGGCTTCAACACCTCTGACACGGTCACCTCGCCGCAGCGTGCCGGGACACTGGCTGGGTGGTGTGGGCTGGGGTCCAGTGGGGTGGGGAGGGTCTCAGTCAGATCTTCGTGGGTTTGGTTCCAGCTTCTTGTGGTGATGGGGTCTCCTGCTTTTGTGGGACTCTGTCTTTGAGCTGGAGGGGGAGCAGCACTGTGTCTTATCAGCCAGTGGGAGGATGGTGGGAGAGGAGGGTCATCAGCGAGGGTCAACCAGCAGCACAGCAGCGCCGGTGGCTCTGCCCATCCTGAGTGGTCTCTGTTGCAGGTGGAGTCACCACCTTTGTGGCCCTCTATGACTATGAGTCCCGGACAGAAACAGACTTGTCCTTCAAGAAAGGAGAGCGCCTGCAAATTGTCAACAACACGTGAGTGTCCCTGTCCCTGCAGCCAAGCCCACATGGGTGAGCTGCCACCTCCGTCCCTCCTGCTGAGCCCCCAAGCCCAGCTCTCCCTGGGGATGGGTGCTCAAGGAGGGGTGCTCTGGGCGATCATCACTGCCTGATCACCAGCGGTGCCACCCTTGGAGCTGCTCTGGCCAAGACACAGACACAGTGACTTGTCCGAGGACACCAGCGCTGGAGGTGATCACTCACCTGCTCCCTGTTGCTGGTCACTGTTGCCTTGCAGCCTTGTCACCAAGCCACCTCCTCGGCTCGTTGGCCAGTCTGTGTCCTCCAACGTGGGGAGGACCTGCCAGTCCCCTGTCCCCATCAGTGCTCAGCTCCCTCTCGTTTGCCTGGACACATCTCAGCTTCACGGTGCTTTCCCCTGTGCTTGCACAGTGTCTCTGATCTCAGCTTCTCTCTTGACTCTTTTTTTCTCTCCTCTGTGCCACGCTGTCGTTTAGGAGAAAAGTGGATGTCAGGTGTGTATCGCAGACTATCGCTATTATTGTTAATGATCTTAAATGACAAAAGCCCATCTGCTGCCCACGTTAGGGTGAGGTTGGGTGGAGTGGGACTGGGAAGAGATGGTTGCCTGATGGTTTTGTGGTCAGTTCAGTTTGTCTTCCCCGAGTGACTGGGGCAGAGCAGGGAGCCCCTTCCCATGCTGGGGAGCTGCTCCATCCAGAGCTGTATCTGCACCCAGGAGCTCTGAACCTGCCCCACTTTGCTTGTCTGTACCTGCTGCCCCTCTACAGTCCCTTTTCAGTTGGCTCTCTGCTCCCTCCTGGCCTTTTTTGCATTTATTTTAGCATTTTAAAATTTTATTTTTATTTTATTGTGAGTGGCTCAGGGGACTCAAGCACTTCCTTATGGGTCTGGCTCCCGCTTGTTTGCCCTTCATCCCGGTCATAGCAGCACACCCATCACCTGATGTGTAGAGCAGGGCAGTGCAACCAGCTGGAAGATGCTCCCAAACATGATCCTGCATTAAACCCACCTGCAGTCTGTCCTGACACGTGGCATGCTCAGTTGGGAGCCTGGCTGGCAGAGCCAATGTCCCCAGCCATGGGGTTGCCATGGGGTCCCTGGGGTCTGCAGCTCCTGCTGGCCCCTCTGCTGCTGCCTTCCAACCTGAGCACCCAAAACAGCTTTGCAAAGTCAAAGGGTGGAAAGACGAGGGAACATCCCGGGGGTGATATTTCTCCTGCAGTGGTCAGACAGTGTTGCACAAACGTGTTTTCAATCTGATCCATGTTCTTGTTCCAATGCTGTTTATTAATGGGGATTCATTTAATCCATGAAGGATGTGCAGGGCTTCAACGCTGCAGGAAAAGCCTGAATTTGGAGGGGTTTGGTGCTTCTTGCTTTCACAGCCTCAGCAGTGTACTAGCCCCAGGGGTGGGTTCTGGTTTGGGCTGTTGTACAGTGAGCTCTGCCCACTGGGGGTCTGGATTGGGACCATATATGAGGGGTTTTTTCTTTATGCCTTAAATCACTTCTGGGGTATCCATACTGCTTTTCTTCTTCTGCTGTTGTTTGTCAAAGGCTTGGTCAGAGGGAAGGGTTGGGGTGTGATGGGCTCTGCAGCACCCTGGGGAGAAAAAGGGCTTCTTTTTTGTTTGTTTTGGTGATGGAGCCCATCAGGCTGAGGATGTGCAGGATCTGAGGATGTGCAGGATCTGAGGGGGTGCAGGATGTGGCTGCTGACCTTCCCGGTGTC